AGGAATGGGATTAATTTCATATTCTTATTCGGGGAACTAATCCACTCATCATAGGTTTATTTTACAGGCTAGAAAGAATAATAGGCTTTTTAAAGTGCAGTTCATCTCATGCTATTACAGACATTAGGCTGACTGCCTGTGTCTGTCCTTGGCTATAATTGGAGCCTGGGGTGCCCAGCTCAAATGGAAATATCTGCCTCGAAGAAGTGAGATTAATCCAACCCCTCGCATAAAGAAAAAGAGGGTTATACTTTTGCTTTCCTCTCCAAGATAGACAATCCTTTTAGGATGCTCCTATTCTGAGTTGCTCAGCATTTTTCTAGACAGGTGTTTTTGTTTTTCTCCATGGTGTTTCAGGACTCTTTCTCTCATTGTGCCTGTCTGGCTGCCTGCCATGGGCTAACAGGTCTCCTTATGGCTGCCATGGGTGCTGTGCCTTCTTGTCACTCCCCCAGCTCTTGGGAAAGGAGATCTGAGCTCTCTTGTGGACAGGGAGGGAGGCATGGCCCATGGAAGGGTAATGGTCATTCAATCCAGCAAGTGGCAGAGCTGGGCAAAGGCCTCAACTCCTGACCTTTAGACTGTGATGTGTGTCTGGACCAGGCAATGATGTCCTGTAGCTGAGCTGGGAGGAGGAACACAAGTCTTTGGCAAGTAAAGTCTATAGGGAAACTCACAGGAAAGAAACTACAACATCACCATCACTGGGCTGTGGGTGAGGTGTTAAACCACGGTCATTTGAACTGAGTATGAAACTTCACATGCAAAACCAAGCACATGCTTTTGTTGTCCCTTGGAAAACAGACTTGGGAGACTTGTCAGTTTAACTGGATTGTTTCAGAAGGCAGTGTGAATGAGAGATTTTTCAACCTCTCGCTGGGTCAGTAAGTCAAGATCTTGCCCCTCGTGCCAAATCCTGAGTGGTCATATTTACCTCAACTCTGAGAGACAGCAAGGTACCAGCAGAGCAGAGGCAGGAGAAATGTCATGGAAGAGCCCTGGGGAAAGCTCAGATGTGAGGTTAAAGAGCAGCCTGGCCGCTCTGTACACTGGAACATTCTGAAAAGGGTTCAGAGTCCAAACCAGAGGGGCAGAAGTTTGTGTCAGAGGAGAGCAAATTGTGTGCTGAGAAATTCAGGTTGGCGACACACTGCAGTGGATCCCTGAGGTGGAGCACCAAGAGCTGGGACTGCAGATGCTGCCACTGGTCAGATGGGAAATGCTAGGGGAAGTGGCCTGAACCTTGCACAGAACCTGCAATCCCACACAATTAGTCCCCTGGGAGTTCTATATCCACTCACAAAGGTTTCACACAAAAGAGAGAGCTGTGTTGGCATAAAACCCAGCTCCATTATGCATGGGCTGTTGGTTTCCCTTTATTGCCAGCTCCTCTGGATTCATATCAGGAAGCCTGGAAGCTGCACATCCCTAATGAAAAGCAGAAGATGTTCATTATTAAATCTGAACTGTTCAAATGCAATTGGTTGCTAGCAGATTTCAAGGTCTGTTTCAGTGATCCCCATGCAGCAAAACCAACACAATGGCAATGGAGCAGCTCTGGCTGAGGTTGCTGATACAAAACTTCCACTGGACTTGATTTTTGCTATCTCCAAGGCTACTGATTCACCTAAAGAGGCAACTTCTGCTCTCAGAGACTGACAGTGGCTTCTTAATCTGTTCTCTTCTCCTGAGTTTAGGTGGAAACTCAGAACAATCCTTTCCATGACAGGAAAAACCTTCCCTTTCACTAAGTGGTCACTTGGAAACACATCTTCTCTGGACCTCTGCAACACCAGATCTCAGACTATGCCATTAAACTCATGTTTCCTGCAAGGCTGTGGGTAATCTGCAGTAATTCACAAGAAAGTTGGGTATTTAAACACATTCCACTACCATACTTTTAAGAACAACTATATTACTGCAGTAAAACGTGCCTGAATATCAAACCACCCATGCTGAAAACAGAATAAGCTCAAACTCAGGGAAGATAAAATGCAAATAAAAATTATTATTTACAATGTCTAACTGCACAACACAGTGGCAGGTGAAGAAAGCAAGAAAAAGCTACTCTATCCAGTAACACAAGGATCAGATCTACAAAGGCTCTTTCTTTCTCCATGTACTTAAGTTTCTCTCAGCTGGCACTACTGACTCTCTGGATCCACTGCAAGGAGCTGGTGGTGCAGCTTCTCCAAAAGTGGGACTTCTGGGAAAACTTAATGGCTGTACAACCCAGACAGGCAAATCTAGAGAGCACCAACAGACAGTTTCAATATTCCCCTGTCTCTGCACACTGGGATCTTTGTTCATGAAATGCCTCTTATTTTAAACTAAACCACTGCCTATTATCTCGTCTCCAGACGCATCAGAACAATGTTTTTCAGCAAAGCTGTAATCAAGAGTGTGATACTTCTCCAGGCCTCATAGCTCTCTCTATCGCTGGAAAATTGGGGGTTGCTTTTTTAAGTTGCAGACTGAAAGAAGCAGGGGATATATTTCCACTTATCCCAACAGGAACATTTTAGGCCTGAGCTGCATCAGGAGAAATACTTGGAGGCTTCTTAAATTTTCAAGACACCTTCCCTTAATTCATCATGAAATTTATTTTCGTGGTAAATCAGGAAAGTCGGTTTGTCTAATAAATATGCAGATGAAACCCTGGTGGGGTGAGAGAAGAGGAGAGAGGCATGAAAGATGACTGCCTTGGGCCCACTAAAGAGATGTGAGCAAGCGCTGACGAGGTGCTGAGCTGACCAGAAATGGGATGACCACATCAGGATGGCGCTGGGCCAGAGCTAATCCACCATGCTGACAGCCTGGGTTTGTTTAGCTGCCTGGGCTCCTGGCCACGGTACTGCAGTGTGAGCTGGTCAGCCTGGAGACCAGGCAGAACAAACCTGCCTCAGTGGGGCTGGGTGTACCTGCAGCCCTGCTCTCCTTCCCACCACTCAGTCTGGAGGAATGTGTCTTATTTTCTTCCCCATGTTCCTGCCAGGAGACTTGAAAACTGTCCATCTTTCCATTTATGCTCTGCAGAACAGTTTGATCTTAATGCATAAGCAAATATGAGCACTTGGTTATGAGCAGGAATATCCTCCCCATCTCCTCAGCATCCAGCCTAAGGCTCCAGGAGTCAGTGATCAATAGCTGCAGAGCAGCAAAACAGTGTTAGAGGTCAGACATCCCTCACCACTCATGGAAAAAAGGAAACACATCCTGGTTGCCCATGTGTGAATCTCCAGGCTTGCATTGGAAAGGCACCTGAGGTGGGTGGCTTGATAAAGATTTAACCACACCTCATGGTAACTAAAGCTGGCTGAGCCATGTGCAGCTCCCCACAAAAACCTTTAACAAAAGTACAAAAAGCACAGATTTTTTTTTTTTTCCTAAATTCAGTATTTTAAAGGAAATACGAACCCTGACATATGATATTCACAAGCAGAGATATTTCATATTAATAACGTCCCTGTGGTATCTCATACTCAGATTTGAAACACTGCAGGCTCTCCCTGTCTTTGTAGGTGAGACCTCCTGCTCGTGCTCCTTCTCTGAGGATTTCCTCCCTGAGGAGGAGGCAGTGCCCCCAGCACCTCTGCCATGCCCACCACCAAGGAGGCAGCAGATTTAGGGCATTCAGTCCACGGTGGGGAATGAGAATGAGAATTGCTCTGACAAAATCCCCTGTGTGGCAGCATTTCCAAATCAAAGTATTTTAATAGAGACAAAAACACACACACACTGGGGGATCGGATTTTCTTCTTTTTTTTTTTTTTTTTTTTTTTTTTTTTGGCTGGAGTATTTAGGGTTTCCGTCAAAATGTTTTCATTTTTTAATATTTGTTTTTCCAAGGAATAATTGAAGTTTTTGCTGTGAAGCAGATACTTCACACAATAAATATGTCTTTTTTTTTTAAAAAAAAAAAAAAAACAGATTAGAGGGAAAATTTTCAACCATCTGTCTGGCTGAAGGACTACTGAAGAGAGAATACTAAGGGTTTATGTAGATTTTTTTTGCAACTCTTTGAGACTCATTAAAAAACAGAAGCTTTGACTTATGTGAGAAAAGGTGAAGGACAAAGAAGGGAAAGCAAAACAACAGGGTTAAGTGAAATGCCACAGTCAAAGTAGCTCTGAAAGAACGATGAAGACTTTCAGTAGCCATTTTCTATATTTCCAGTGTGTTTTTCCACACGCAGCCATGGGGTATTGCTGACTCTCCTTGGAGAGGGGAAGGGCTGCATTGCCACACAGCTTTGGGAAGGTGCCTTTCTCCACCAGCACTTCCCTGACATCAGCTGGGCTGTCTGCACAGCACGGTGCCCTCCAGGAGCAAACAGAAATCCCGGTGCTGCAGAGCCGTGTGCTGCTCCAGGTGTGCACACCCCAGAGGGAACAGCAGCAACTGGAGCTTCCCCCATGGCTGGCAGCCAAGGTGGTGATCATCATCACACAGGGGAAGGATCAGCTGGTCAGGGGCTTGTGTCTCTGCACAGCTGAGGAGCTCAGTGCAATAGAGCTTAGCTGGGATCCAGCTAGAATAAGCAGCCCTGCTGGCAATGAGGGCTCCCCCTCACCTCCCCTGCTGGGAATCACCCCCTCTTTTAGCATAAATCCTCAGCTCTGGACCCAGAGGCAGTGGGTGAAATACTGGTGGGCCCTCCTCCACCCTCTCCATCAGGAAGCTTTATGTGGTTTAGCCCTTCCAAAAAAATAAAAAGAGGAGGGGGGAATCACTAAACATTTTCTATTTCAAAACAGATTTCATCTTCCTTAGAAAGTAATACTGCCTCCAGCCATGTGTAACTTATTTTTTATCCAACAGAGTATATGGGCTTATAACTAGATCCTGATAGGAACCCAGGTTTAAAACATTATTCACAGCAGGTTATTTGATCTTTATTTGCTGAATGCACTCAGCTGAATCCCTATCTCCAAACAATATGAGAAATAAAATGCTGGGCATGCTTCATTGGCCAGCCAGCTCATCTTGATTTGCAGAGATGGCTACATCCCTCTCAGCAGTTTCAGAGATGTGCTGTATCCCAGGCCCTAAGAGGCAGTTTTCCCTTCCTCTTCCCTCACCCAAACACTTATCATTTCTTGTTTTTCTCCTTTCCTCCATTAGATGCTTTGGAAAAAACGCTTCAGACCAGACCTTTCCCCTCCCTTCACCATGATTTCTGGGAAATTGTTCTTCATACTGCATATTTGTGGATACTCAGACAAAATCACTTGCCATCTGCTGTTGTGCAGAAGGTCAGATGTTGATAACCTGCTCAGGAAGCCACAGGGTTTGGTGATGAGACTGGTCACCTGTGGAAAGGTGGGTTGGAGGAGCCTGTACGACCCTGGTGAAATTACTGATACTTCATTTTATTAATAGAGCTGCTGTGACAGATCTCAGAGATGACCTTGTCTCCCCCACACCAACTTTGCTGCAGCTTCAAGCTGTGTCACAGCTAAAGGTGGACTTGGACATCACAGGTGACCACTGGGATGGCTTTTTTCAAGAAAAACCCTGATGGCTACAAACTGGATTAATTGCCAAGCAGGATGGATAAGGCTTTGCTGTCCTGAAAGGGAAGCCAGAGCAGCTTGGGGAGAGAGGCCAAGCTGCACACAAGGAGGTCAAGTTCTTCATTCCCTTTGACTTTTGATGAGATATGCCTTTGAAAATCCTCTCTCATATATCCTAAAAAAAAAAGTCTCCAGTTTCCAGGCCAGAGCCCAAGCACAAAATATACTTCAGAAACTTCAGCATGGAGGGTTCTGCTGTAGCAAGGCTCTGGGAATAGAGAGCAAGTCCTTTATGGACATCCCAGAATCAGGATGGTGTCACTAAACTGGCCAGCTTTCTGCACTGCTATTGCAGATATAGCAGGACAGGGCCACTTCTCACATGAATATCTAATGTTTCTATCTCTAATGTTTCCTTCCCTGGGATGTGTTTAAAAGCCTATCTGCCCATCACAGCTACCTCCTCCTGCTTCCCTTTCAAGACATGTCAGGAGGCCATCCTGCTGCCAGGCAGAGTGTAGTTTATGTTCATTTTCCCTGGGTAAGGCCAGAGCGGTGTCACTGACCCAGCCGAATGTTTCTTCACCAAAACACAAATTAAAACCACCCCCCGTTGTCAGTGACCGACTCTCTGTGCAGTGTGGAGGGTTTGTCCCTGTCCTCATCCCCATCCAGCCCGGGAGTGTCACCGAGGCCACGCGGATGTGGCAGCGGCTGGGACAGCCCAGCCTGGGCTCTGTGGTCTGAGGGGGAGCACCCAGATTCTGTGTGGTTCACTGGGGAGGGAGGGGGAGACCTGAGGAGGCGAGAATTAAATGTCTCGCTTTTCTTTCCCTGTAATTAACCCTGGAAAAGAGAAGAGAAAAAAAAAAGGAGCAGAAACCAGTCAGAGGCGCAGCTTTGCACGGCTGGATTAGAGTTGCAGTTGGCCTATCCCCTTGGGAACACTACTCTGCTATTAATAAAAAGATAAACAAGCCCTTTTATTTATTTATTTTCCCTTCTCTCCCCAAGCCCTTTGATTTCCCTTTTCCTGCTTGAGGCGGTCCTGCTCCCTTCCTTCAGCTCTGCATAAGGGAGGGTTTGCAGGAGTGTTTGTGAGAGGCTGCCTGGGAAAGACAAAAATCAAGGGTGAAGGGAGTGTGGGGAAGAAGAAAGCGGGTGAAAATGATTTTAACCATTTCTAGCAATCACATCACCTGTTGGGGCTGGCAGAAACGATGCCCTTTATTTATTCCTCTTGCGCTGATGCAGCTGCAGGTGTCATTCCCACAGGCACCCTCAAGCTCCCTGAGGCCACCCCATCCTGGCAGGCTCCTGTCTGTCCCTCTCCACCCCTGGGGGCAGCTGTCTGGAGCCCCTTGCTGAGACAGAGACAGCCTGCTGCCTTCACTGGCTCCATGGGGGAATAGGGGCTGTCAGGTGGAGAGTTACCCACTGAGGAAAAGCTAATTGCTGCTCTCAGGCGAGGGGCTGTTTGCATCTAGGCCATCAGCAGAGTGCAACCAATCTCAGCAGCTCACCAAGAGGAAAAACACATCAGGTTATTTGCCTTAGAAGGGACATTTGCCAATTTTGTGGGCAGAAATGGGTATGGATTAAACTGTGGTAATTCTGTGGTAATTCTTTATACAAATTAGGCATTCAACTGAGTCTGAATTTTAAACACTCATCTTAAAAAAAAAAATTATACCTGAAAAACACTTCCTAAAGCTTCAGAATAAGTGATGAAAGTTATTTTCCAGTCTTCTTATTTGAGCCTTAGAATGGGAAAAGTGTAGATTAAATGGCATGCACACACACCTGGGCACTGCTTGCGTGCATTTTTGGGGGATCATCATATCAGTACCTCCAGACATGATCTGAGAAAAATTTGCTTGCTGAAGGGACAGGAATGATTTGAAGAAGTTCAGAGCTTGGTGTGTTATTGTTTGTTTCTCCAGAGATACTCAGACTTTGTGCAAGAAGCATCACTCATCAGCATGGGGGTACCCATGGTACGAGCTGCCCCTGCACATCCCCTTGCAGAGCTTGCAGAAAAGGAGGAGGAGACGCCTCAGTGCTGCCATGGGATCACTCACACAGGCCATGCAGTCCCCCCTGCCCAGCCCGAGTACCAGCCTGACATGATTTTTGCTGGTAAAAGCAGACTTGGAGGACAGTGAGGAATGGAGAATCAGGAAACTGAACTGCCAGGCCACTACAGGAATATCCCAGGGTCTCAACCCATGACACAAGGCCAAGCACTGCTCCCTCAGGGACCTTTGTCTCCTGAACCATCCTTCTAGTCTTTCCATCAATGTGTTGAATTTTCTTTAAAAAGTTTTGTAAATAAAAGCCCTTTTTGCCTTTCTTTTTTCTTTTTCTTTTTCTTTTTCTTTTTCTTTTTCTTTTTCTTTTTCTTTTTCTTTTTCTTTTTCTTTTTCTTTTTCTTTTTCTTTTTCTTTTTCTTTTTCTTTTTCTTTTTCTTTCAGTCAGGGTGTTAATGGCCACATCAGCTGGAAAGGGGCAGCCAAAGCTCAGTGTGTAAAACCCCACTCAGGCTGCCCTTTAATTTGCTGTTACATAGAGTGGAAGATTTGAAAGCGTATTTCTGGGTAATTAATTCAAAGAGTGATTCTAATGGCTAATGCTGTCAGTTTTGACTGCAAGGGAGGTCTGGGGCTGGAGCAGGCAGTGAAGGGAAAAGAAAATGCTTGGAGGTCACAGGCAGATGTTAAAATATTTTGACAGCCCACATCCAAGAGGCTAACTTAATGAAAGCCTTTGGCCAGCACCTTCCAAGAGGTCTGAAACTGAATCCATTTATTTTTCTCCAGAATAGCGTGCATGGCTTGGACCGTGGCTTGTTCATAAATCACCATTCTCCATTTGGTCAGCAACACCATCAATCATTCTCAGAGCCCACCAGCCTGCTCTCTGTGCCACGGCAGAAACACCACTAAGAGGGATTTGGTGTCTCTTGAATTTAACTCCTCAATTTTCAGTGACACACAGGAGAAGCTCTGCCTTTATCTCTACTGATTATTAAAGCCAGTGAGCAGAGGTCCTGCACCTGTGTATGGAAATATAACTGCTGGGAAATGAAATTAAGAAGCTCTATTCATGGTGTTATTATCTTACTTGGAAGTATTTAATCAAGCCATGGCACTGCTGAGGAGGATGTCCACAGCCTGGGAGTTTGGTTCTTCCAGAAATGCATATCCCTGTGGCATTTACTAAACTCCTCCAGCCTACCCCAGCAGGCTTGGAGTCGAGCAGCATTTGCAAAGGATTTTCTGGGGACCATTCTGTTGAGGCTTTTCAAAGGATTTCATCAGGAACCTGGAAAGGCACAGCTCCTGGCAGTTGTGCTCACTGGCTTTCACTGTTTTTTCCCTTGTGCTTCAGAGAGCACTTGGAGTAAAGACACAGGGAATGAAAACTTGTGAATGTGGAAAATAACTGGAAGAATATTCGATTCAAGTTTATATTTTGAAATAAAGTTTGGGTGAAGTCTGCTCCTTTTGACCTCCTTTGGCTGTTTCCAGAAATTAATTCAGCTCCTGCTATGTATCAGCTTATCACTTCAGCATCTACCATTGCTATACTTCTTGTAACAGGGTGTGTTCATAAATTGGTCCATCCTTCTTTTATGTTCTTAACTTTTGTGCAGAACTGTAATGCATGGAAAAACCTTTTTCCAGCCCAGACATGGGGTGGCTGCACTTCAGGATGGGTGAAAGGATGCCCTGTGCCTGTACTGCTTGCAGATGCAGTCACAGGCATTGGTTAGACCAAAGCTGGCAGATTTCCACCCCAATTCACTGCATTCATTTTATTCAGCTCTAAAAAGCACAAGACACAGACATCCACATGCAGACATGCACATCTACAGAATTACAGGTGCCAGGATGCGTGGTACATGCCAACACAGGATTTAGAGCAGAGCCTCACTATCCTGGGGCTCCTGGAGTTTGAGTACTGGGCTTGTGGGTGATGGCACAAGACACCACCTTCCTTTGCCTGTGTTCTCAGGAACTGTGCATCACTGAAATGCAAGTATGGCACTAGAGATGTGCAAATCTATCTACCAAGCAGATGCACAATTACACCCTTGGTTTATAAGCAGACACTGTCACTCCAGAGATTATTTGGTGCTTGCTCTGCTGGCTGATCAGCTGTATTTGGACATGCACCTGGACTTATTTCAGGGCTAAATTAAGGAAAAGTCTTTTGAGTCCCAAAATGTCTAGGACTCCTGGTCATGTCAATATTATTTATTTATTTATTTATTCATTCCAGTTCTGCTGAATAGGTGCAGTCTGTCTGAACACATTTTCATTAGCAGTTCTTCAGGATGGCCAATGAATCTACATACACACACAGTTAAACCATTGCTTGCACAGCATCCTCCTCTGGGCACCCCAGGAAAATCAGAGTAGCATTCCTGGATCAGCAGCAGTCATCAGCCCCTCTCTGTCAGCGGTAAAGTGATCTCACCCCCTGCCCCAGCCGACAGGGAGGCTCTGTTGGGGTGCCCAGGGAGGGCCCTGTCAGGATGTTTGGCACACTCTGCCTCGTTGGCTGCCACAAGCTGCCCTTCCTTCAAGCTCTGCTGCTGCTGAGCCCTGCTCAGAAGGTGGCTACAGCAGCCCTTGCTATTTTGGATACTGAGCACCACATGAGCAATAAGTGCTTAGGAGGGAGTGGGAACAGCTCTGCTCTCCCCCAGACCGAGCCTTGGCTCTCACTGGTAATACAAAGGAGAGATTTATCTTTAGAACTTTATTGTTAAGGAACACGGGACAGCTGTGAAAGATCTTTCTCTCTGTGTTCTTTCTTCTCCACTTCTGCAAAGCCAGAGAAAACTTTCCTTGCTGAAGGAGGGTGTAAAAGCACATGGCAGGCTTTGCAAGTGTCCATTAAGCCCATCAAGTACACCCTGTAGTTCTGTGTTAACTCACATGCAAGCTTTCCGTGGCAATGATGTGAGTGCAGGTACTGTCAAGCAGAAGCAGCCCAGGATCAGAGCCAGGCTAGCAAAGCTGGGTTTTACTGATAGGGGGAGGAGGACAAGGGCAGCTTTGATTCACTGCAGCCCCCAAATATTTCTGGGGCTTTGCCTTGTGCTGCTAAAGTCTCTCAGATTTGTTCATTCTGTGAAATTTCTTTCATCTTGGGTAGCATCTCGCAGCATCAGCTCCTGATGATGTGAGTTGTGTTACAGCTGCGGGCTGGGAAGCATCTCCTTTCATGGTGAGCAGGAGACAAAGACCAAATTAAAGAAACTAGATCAGAGGGACAGACAGTTACTCTCAGAGCACCAAAATCACCCAAATAGCTGCTGGGGAAAGGGGGGCTGTGGGTGTACAGGGTCTGGTATTTCATACACACAGCACACTCAGTAATCAACATAAGGGGAAGGGCACTTAGTAATAGAGTTTCAGAATAATTTTAATCTTTTCTTACTATTTTTTATTTGGATACTTCTACAGCTGTTTTTAACATTTCATCAGAGTGTGCTAGTCTCTTTATATTGTTTTTCCCCTCAGAGAAACAGAGGCACAGAGCAGTGACATGACCTTGCTGGGGTGATCTGATAAACCGTTGTATTTTCCTGTATATTCCCAATCCTTAAAACACAAAACTTGTGAGTTTTTAGCTGCTTTTGGGCAGACAGGTGTGGGAGGGTAGGTAACAGCAAAAAAACTGCAGCATGGCTATTAACTCCAGTGCCTT